TATATACGTATATATATCCATTTGGTGAAACCAAAGTGAAACAGGAAGTTGTGATTAATGGGAACTCCTTGATCTTTGTTTAAAGAAAAAAATGGTTGAATTTTGGGCAGTAGCTGCATGAAACCTTTCAAACTTTCCTCACAATGGTCCTCTCCTTGATTCTGTTGTGTGTTGAGTACCAGCAACCAAACAGTCTTTATTCTGAACCTCCCCATCAGAGATATAATTGTCTTAAACCAGCCCTCAGACGTCAGCACCATCCCACCCCCACCCTACCTGGTGTAAAGCACTATGGCAATCCATCAAACAAAACCATTAGTGCATCATCTGCAAGCCTCTCGTTGAAATCGAGCTCCAAAGACWTATTACTGTGGCCGCTTGTGGGCACTAGGAAATGTAGTCAGTTGCTTCAGAAGCCTCTGCCATCGCACCTTAAAAGATCGAAGAGGGAGGAAGGAAGAAAATAATTGAATACAGATAATTGGAAAGAAAGATGTCAAAGCAGATGTGCCATGTACTGCAGAAACCAATAAATCTCTGAAAACAAAAGATGAAGGGGAATGAGGGAAAGAGTGAGAAGAGATTTGTGGGTAATGCACAYCTTGACAGAGAGGAGCGTCTGATCTGCAGCACTTGAACTAAATAACTTAGAACTCCATCTGTCGAATCCCCGATCTCTTCTCCTGGAATCACAACAGAACACAGATATTCTATTTTTCCAGGAGCGGAGCAAAACAGCAGCTCTGAGATGAAGCTGTTGATCTTACGGTAAGGAAAGTGTCAGATTGTACACAGGGGTGTGAGGAGCTTGGATGGACTTCAGACAAAACAAAGTGGGGTGGAGGAAAAGAGGCAATCAAAAAGCTGGTGGAGGATGTGCTGCAGTCAGTGTGACAAAAATATTGTGCTTCAGACTGATCTTTCAGTGTGCAGCTTTTATAGCAGATGTGAAGCCCCCCACACCCCACCCCATTCTATCTCTGAGACGTAATGCAGAGTTAGTGCAGAGGACATCACTGGGATGCATTGCAGAGTGAAACTCTAGATAAGAGGTGCTCTTTTTTTTCACTTTTCTGCTGAGTTTCAAGGTTTAGAATGGCAGCCTTACTTAGAGGTCGAGGACACAGAGATGTAGGAAGTGAAGCTTGTTCGACTGTGTTTAAAGCCGCCCTTCATTTTGTCTTTTTCAGAAAGGAGAGACTGTGAAACGAATACGAGAAGAGGTACAGTGTTCCTTCCCGATTCACACCTCCAAAAGCCTGACTTCTCACACCCTGCAAGCCATTGTCTCTGTGTCATGTTGTGTATGCTTCATGTGTGTGTGTTTTTTAAATTACTATTAACAGTTTTACATGCCCCAACATGAGGTGTTTTTTATTCTGTTCRTATTTAGAGAAAACATTCTTTAATTTCCTGTGGTCCTGATGCTGACCTGATGTTGCTCAGGCTTTCAGGCAGTTTGATGTTTTAATAAAACACGAGAAAGGAAATGTGTTCTTTATTTGTGAGGGCTTTGCACCCTAAAACCAAACCTATCAAAGCCATTGTCCAAATTACCTTCTGGGTAAWAAAAGCACCTTTTTCAATTTAACACCCCCCACCCCCATTTCTTTCTCTACACCACCTCCTCGAGCAGCTCTCACCAAATCCCCCCCAATTAAAACTACCTCTTTTTTTTCCCTTCCGTCTGCCCCTCAGTTCGCTCTTTATGAATCTCAGGAGTACAGCCAAACTAACACCGCTTGGTTAACTCTCAGTATTAAAAAGTAATTAGTCTGACGCTGGTGGCGGCACATTTGATTCTCCTACTGCTGAAAAGGTTTTATGTTCTACTTTATGAGGCAGAAGATAAACACGGGAATGGGACGGTTATGGGACAATGCAGCTGGATAGAGCCGTCCAGACGTTCATTCAACCAGACGGGCAGTTTTAACCTTTGTTGCTTTTCTGTCTATACTCCTGTCCAAAATAAAGTCTCCGGAGAGAGGAAGACTCAATAAACTGATAGGAGAAAAAAAATCCCTGGAGTCAGAGTAATTAGGTGTTTATAATGCAACCTGAACAGCACATTGAWGTGACCGCAGCAGCTCAGCTCTAAAACAACGCTAACAAACAACCAAAAATAAAAACTCACTGCTTCCTGGTAATCCACTGYAACACATAAAATCCTTACAAATTATTTTTTCTTGAAGAGTTTGACAGTGGGGGTCACAATGAACCAATAAGTTTGGTTTACTAATCATTAATCCACTAAATAAAAATCCCAGCTCCATTCAGCTCTAAAACAAACAGAACAAACAAACTAAAGAAGAACTCACTACACCATTTATTACTGTTGTGCCTGCCAGTTTATTAACAAATTCACWCGCTCATCATTATACAGGAATTAGCCTACTRCTTTAATTCAGCTCCGGAATGAACATATCACAGCCACACATAGAGATATGTATAATATGCAGATATTTTAACTCTATGCAGCAACACAATATCTTCATATTGTCACTTGTGGTTACATATCCTGTTTTGGTGACTGGATATTTCATAAGTCTTATTTTATTTTATTAAATCTTATTTTATGTCACTAGCTTTCAAAGTCTTATTCATAAAGTTATTACAAAACATTAAACTTATGCATGGGAATGCAAAAGTTAGTGCAAGTAGGAGGGTCTTGCAGCTTGGATTTGTTCAGACTATTTAATGAATGAAAAAAAGGGGAACGGACACCCTAATAGTAGTCTTAGTGAGGTCGTTTACTGKTCACACCTGTGTTTAGCACAATCTAATTTCAATCTGATGATGCAAGATGGACTTTAGCAACAACCTGAACAGACAGACCCTGATTTGTTTTATAGCTTTCTGTCCTTTTTTCCATCAGAATATGCGTATTGTATGTGTTTGGCCACTTTGAAAACTTTTGCCATTATGAATAAAGAAAAAAGACAGCGTGAGAAAATGAGCATATTTCTGTCCCACCAGTTCTTTCCTTTAAAGAATGGATACCTCTTTCAAGTCTAAACCAAGGTGTGTTTATTGCCATTCTGCAATTCCTGTGCACTGAATTTTTCAAAGTGCTATAAATAATGTATTAAAATGGCAAAAGAAAAAAAAGATCAAAGAAAGAGGAAAAATTGCACAAGACATAGAAATGCACTAAGCATTAATATGCAAATAAAACAGAAATGAAGAATAAAAAAAAATCTGATTATTCCTGCAGTTCTCTCCTTTAAATGCTGACATGTACTGTAGAAATCTAGTTGAAGACACAAACTAAGTTTTAATTCAACCAAAAAGTAGGTTAAATTTTCTTTGAGAAAACAAATAATGGAAACTAGTAAACTAGTTGTGACTGCTTTATTTGTTTTTTTTTTTTTTTTTTTAGTTTTTTGAAACGAAACCTCAAAGTCTGAAACATTACATTGGAATAAATTGAAGCATTCAGGAGATATCAGGAGCTTTGGTGGTGAACACGACAAATAAATGTCTCCGCATTTGTTATGAATGAGTTTTGCAGTGTGTGTATGTGCTCTGCTGTTAGCAAAAATTACTTGTAAATTGTTGAATGGATTTAAATAAAATTTGTAGGAAGTAATAAGTGGATGTACATCTTAACATGATTAACTTTTAGAGTCAGTTTGAATAAAGATGGCCGTCACAGCCAAGTGATTTTTGGAAACACAAAAATGGCAACAATCTAGTTAAATTTATAGTAGCTACTGGGCTAAAATTTGATGTGGTAGTAGCTGAGACTCCTCCTCATCTGATCAATAAGAAATTGCAAAAATTAAAAATAAAACGTTTAAAATTTTGCCAATAACTATTTAGTATCAAGTCTGACTGTTAGCAAAATATCTCGTGAACCACTAAAAAGATTTTAATAAAACTTTCAGGAAATATTAGCTGCATCTGCCACTACAACTGATAATCTTTAGGAGTCATTTTTGTTTTGACATAACTTCTCCACTAACTATGGTTAGAAAACATAAAAATGGTCAAATTTCATTCAATTCTTCAAATAATGTGCTACAATTTGGTCTGGTTGTAGTTGAGAGTTGTTTAAACAATATACTCCAAAAGCTATATGTTTGCTTAAAAAAATCTTTAACTCTTTGAGTTAACTTTATTTGTCTGTTAGCAAAATATCTAATGAACCAATGGGCAGTTTTTTAATAAAACTCTCAGAAATGAATCATTAGCTGTGCTTCTACAACTGATTAACTTTTGGAGTCAACCTAATACAGGATGGCCATCACAGCAAAGCAAGATTTGCCAACACAAAAATGACCATGAGGCAGTCAGTTTTACAGATATTGAGCTAAAAGTCGATGCAGCAGTAGGTGAAACTGTTGAAAGAGTTGTTKTCTTTGTTAATATTTCCCTGACCTCTGCTAATGATTGCCCCACAGAGCGGCGCACGAGTCAACATCTCAGAGGGCTCGTGTCCGGAGAGAATCATCACCATCACAGGCTCCACAGACAGCGTCTTCAGRGCTTTCACCATGATCACATACAAACTGGAGGAGGTAACTAAAACACACGGAACAGTTAAATTGACTTTTATAGCCACTGATTACACTTTAAACTGAAAAAAAGACACAGAAATGCTTACAGGAAAGAACAAATGCTTTGCAACATCTGCCTAWAAACATGGCATTATCAGTGGGCATTAACTCTGTCTTTTAGCAAAATTTCTCTAGAACCACTGGACGGATTTTAGAAAACCTTTCAGATAATAATTATTGGTTATATTTAAAAACAGATTAACTTTCAGAGTCAACCCAGTTTAYGATGGCTAACTGACATTAACCTATACAGAAATGGTTCAACCTCAGGGATTTTTTTTCACAGATATTAAATTAAAATTTGCTCYGATTGTAGCTAAGACTCATTGAAAACACGCACTGCTTTCAATAACAGACAAAACAAGATATTGCCATATTGCATTAGATTGTGTATAAGAGGATTTTATTTTTTTAAGTTTTATCAAAAAAGCTCCAACTTCATTATTCCTCAAAATAAAATCTTTGTTTAAAACATTGGCATGAACGTTGGTGGGTTATATGTTTTCCTTAAAGAAATGCTAGGCTTTTGATTGTATTAAAGGGTGATATATGTCCAGTTTATTTTTTTATTCTTTATTCATTTCATTAAAACAAAACAAATAATTTTATACAATGTACAATAAAAAGAAAAATATAAAAATAAAAGTGAGATTAAAAATATATACATGTATATCAAAATCCCAAATAAAATGAAATGAAAGGCAGCAAATTGGGACAAATGTGACTAGTTTGTTCCTACTAATCAGATGTAATTTAACTCATCTGCTGTAAGTTTCAGATGACAGCTCCTGCCGGTAATTCCCTCTGCGACCGTCAACTACAGCAGTAATTAAGATCGTGGACTTTTCTCTCGCTTTCAGCGTCGCAGCAGATTTCTGACGAGGAAAAAACAGGTGCTCGGGTCGACAGCGTTCAATAACAATACACAGGCTTGCAGCAGCGCGTTGCAGTTTTCATTAAACATCCTTCACGTTCACCTCCTCTCAACCCTGAAACTCCTGCGTTTCCACGGCAACGCGCTCGCTGACCCGCTGTGTGCCGTTTCCACCACATAGTTGAGTTATTGAACGTCTGACACCTTTAATTAAAAACAAAGGGAATAATCAGGGTTTTTTTTTTTTCCAACTGAGTGGTAGGTTGTGCGTCTGTTTCTGTCTCGGTGGTTTATGGTTACGCAGCAACACCAACTCTGGTGTTCGAGAGCCATTTTTATGCAAATGCAAACATGTGAGAATAGAAATCAATAACAACTAACYTAGTGCTTGCTTCACGTCGTCACACCTGTATTTTTACTGAGGAGATGCAGCAAAGCCTGTATAAAAGCTGCACATAGTCTCTGTCCTGCAGCAGAAACACAAGAAGCTGTCAGGGTTTAATTATCAATCCGCCAGCAAAGGTGACACAACAGTGTTTTGCAAAGTCAGCAAAACATATCAAATAAAGTGAAACATTCAGAAAGTATGAGATGTACTTCATGTACGGTATGTACCTTAGGGGTCAACCTACAGTAATTCAAGATGGACAATTAAGCTAAAAGTTGTTCCGGTATAGCTGATTAATGTCTTCAACACATCGCTTGAGCACAACACACATCTTAGGATTTACTGTTGAAGTTAATCTTGTTTCTATGTCAGCAAAATGTCTGATGAACCACTGAGATTTTAATGAGACTCAGATTAATTAAAATTAATCAGTGGATCATTAATCAACTATTGATCTGCTTTTGGAGTCAACCCAATTCGATGCGGTTGCTGCAGTTACTTGACAAAAGCCCACAAAAAACATCCACACCTCATTGAGTTTCCCAGATACTGAGCAAATATTTGATGTGGGAGAAGCTTCAAGTCATTCACAGCACATGCTCAAAACGCCAACGGTTGGTGCCAGATCCAATACTACTGGATAATATTGTGCAGAATGTTTTTTTTTTTTCAAGGTTTGACTAAAATAGCAAATCTTGATCGTTCCTCATCATAGCACAGTGGAATATAAAACTCTGATGTGAATGGCGACAGGCTTCAAAGAAGCCTTTTACCTTTCGACTATCTCGCAGCGTTTTGTACTGGAAAYTATTTGAATGTTAAAAATTCTTAAGAAGTAGGAGATATTTTTAGATCAAATCAAGACAGTGAAGCCCACGGCCCTTCGGTTGTACGGATGAGCCGTGTGTTCCTCCTCTAATGAGACGAGACGTCAAGAGAGCCTGATCCGCCTCACTAAATATAAACACAGATTTTTGTACTGGAACGTGCTAAATATATATATAATTTGCTTGTCTTCTTTAGCTCAAATAACTGGTAGGCATACAGTTTCTTATTGTTACAACTGTTTTAACTCAAATGAAAATACAGGTGCTATTAGCATCTTYACTTTGCATAGTGTTGTAGTACTTGAGACCGGTCTTGGTCTTAAGACCGGTCTCAAGACCACTTTTTGATGGTCTTGGTTTTGTCTCGGTCTCGAACATTGAGGACTTGGAATTTTATTTCAAGACCAGTCAAGACCACAGCTGTGGAAATATCACTAAATAGCCAGATTATTGTCCAATTTATTTAACTTTCTTGCTTTCATTGAATTTAAAATGTAGCTACTGATTTAAGTCCAAACCTGAATTATTGCTATTTATGTATTTTTGTTAGCGGCTGTCACCCATCCCCACTCTATTCACTCGCATGCTGCACTCCAGGAAAGTAAACAGTGGTTCTTTGGGAATGGTAGAAGATGTCTTCAAAATTTTAAGTAAAAAATGTGGCTACATTATTCATAAATAATATCATTGTAAAACAACAACAACCAGGAGAAAGTGTACAGCAACTTGTACATTCAGCAGTGCTTCACTTTCAGAGACAGTGGGGACAACTTTTATTGTCACTAACGTTAACAATCTGCCTCTGTAGCAAAATTCTTTCCTCTGCCCTCACACAAAGATTTTGTCAATATTAGCTCTATATATGAAGTTAGCTACAGTGTGGAAAATGTATTTAGCCAGCACCAATTGTTCAAGTTCTCCCACTTGAAAAGATGAGAGAGAGTCCTGTGATTGACATCATAGTTGGACCTCAACTACGAGAGACTAAAGAATGTAGAATGACATAAGGTAAGTGTAAGGGGAAGTGTTCAGTCTGACAAAGCTTTCCTCCCAAGCTGCAGTGTTTGTAATGGAGAGAATCCAGGCGTCTTCATCAATGATTAAACAGTCTTTTTAAGAGGTAGCCCCCACTGGACTGGAGAACATGAACTACACTGCTGTCCAACCTCGAGTGGACTTTTCATTCAGGAGCACACACAGGCTGAGGTTAATTAGATGCTGGGTTGCTCTTTGCACTTGCTCTCTCAGTCTCTCTACCAAAGAAATACCTGACACATTCAGCAGGAATCCCACCAGAGTTCTCTCATTACTGTTGGTTTGCTGCGGTTGTATGAACCTCAGTATGACTGCTGCGCCGTTAGCTGGTTCATGCAGATCAGGATGGATCATCTGCTTCTGTTTTTAAAAAATGATGGAGTATAATCCTCAAGGAGATTATATTATTACTTTACTGGTAGCTTTGAATGCATAMAATTCTCAGTGAAAAAGTACGAATATATACTGTAAATGAAAAATGTTCAGTCCCAGTTAGTAACCTCCATGTGCCTGGTGATTTATTTCTCCTTCTGTTTCTACTGTCACTCCTACATGTAGATCATTGTGTTTTAGTATCTTACTTTTTTATTGTCCCGGTCATGAATTGTGTGATTGCACCTGTTTGTCAGGGGGCACCACCAAGGCAGAGCCGGGGGGGTGGGTGGGTGGGTGTAACGACCATCCCCAAAAGAATTGGTGTCCCCCTCTGGACAGTTTGCTCGGTGTGCATTTTTAATTTTCCTATTCAGGATACCTCTTTAACATCAATCAAACCCTGTTTTAAGTTATGAATAAATGAAAATGCAACTATATTTTTTATTAAAAAATAAAATTAATCTCCCTGAATAGGACACCTGGTCTAAAACCAGTGTCTTCAAGATCAGGATGCTACAACACAGTATTAGGGCCAAAACTAGGACTTTTGTGGACCAAACAATTGCTATATCAGTTCCAAAGCTACTGATCTGATTAAAGATAGACCTGCACCGCTAACTGAGAGGCCAGCACTGGCAAATATAAAGGAGACCACTCATRTGCGTTAGCACAAGTATCCAGCCTAGAGATTCTAGACGTTAGTCTACCCAATACTAAAGTCAGCCTATCCATGCTAATAGACAGCAAAAGCAGTAAGCAATCCAGCAGATGACCAGCCTAGGCATGCTAGTCACCAGCCTGTATAGCGCATATGAGTAGTCTCCTTCTCATTTGTCAGCACCGGCTGCTCAGTTACCAGTGCAGGCTTATCATTAGTCAGATCAATAGCTTTGGAATACCTAAATCCTCCTGCTACAAGGATGTAGCCACAGCTGGGTGCTCCCAAATACCACCCCATAGGATGCAAGGGGTTAGGAGTTTATATACAGAAAATTATTTTATAAATATAAATTTCGGAGTGGACAAGCATCACCAAATTTCAACTGTTCATAATAAGTTAAACATAGCAGAATCCCCTAAATCCTGTAGCACTGTACTCAGGGGCATTGGAACAGCTAAAATCTGATTGGTCCCCTGAAGTGCCCCTGTCCTGTCACTCATCTGCCCTTTGCCCAAAGCAATAATGGTGGATGAAGTTCCATGTCCAAACACTAGTGGCACTAATGAGCCAAAGAGGAAAGTCCAGCATGAATCAAGCTTACAGAAGTCTTCTTCTCTTCTTAAGAAGATTTGAACAATCCTGCAGAAAAAGTCATTCAACTGACAAACGATGGCTGGGTTTTCTCACATGCTGTGTTTGAAAGTATTTTGTCTATATTCAGTAAAAATGCATGTAAAATTTATGAGAAGAAATAACTGTGCAAGCTTATTTTTTAGATAACGACATTACATTCCAAATATTTGAACATGTGTGACTGGTTAAATGTATACACCTTACCAAAGTCGAGGATTTGTGTGCAAGGATGTTGCACAAATACTTTGCCCCTCTATGAATAATGTAGCCCCTTCGTGGCCCCTTACTTAAAAAAAATCCTAGATCCACCACTGACTGTATCTGTCAAATAACCTGTATTTGACAACAACATAACAAATCCCCTGAAACTCAGTACTGGCTTTTAATTTAGGTGCACCCCCCATACCTTCCCTTGCCCTCCACCCCAGTACCACTGCTCTGTGTGTGTTCATTAATCTTTTAGTAAATATCACATGAGCCAGTGGACAATTTTGAATCAAGCTCTCAGAAGATAATCATAGGATGTACATCTTCAACTACTCTTTAAACTGAATCCTATTTAGGAATGCTAACACAGCTGATCAGCACTTAGCAAACATGAAAATAGTTATAACCCAACCATTGTTATAATGAGCTAAAATTTGGTATGGTAGTAGGTCTGAGTCATACCCACCACAAGTGATAAGTGCTAACAAATTGCACAAGTTCTTTGTTTAAAACATTGGCCTGAATTTTTCTTGTGTTTTCCTCCAGGACTTGACTGCGCTGGTGGCCAATGGCACCATCAGCTCCAAGCCTCCCGTCACCCTGCGGCTCGTCATCCCTGCCAGTCAGTGTGGCTCGCTTATTGGGAAGGGTGGCACAAAGATAAAGGAGATTAGAGAGGTGAGCAGCCAGAATACAAATGTACTGCAAAGGCCATTTCAAGACTGGGTGACTTTTCAGTTCAGTTTTAATCCAACTCAATACAGAGTCAGATTTAGTTAATATAAATTATAAAAAGCTTTTAGATTGCTAAGACTCTAAGACGGCTCCTTTTTGACAGGAAACGCTCAGTTACATAATTACAAGGCTGGAAATGTGATTGCATTAATCTTCGCAGCTTGTATGACCTAGTTTCCAAAGTATGAAAACTGCATAAAATATAAATAAAACAAAGTATTTTATTTACAAAATTACAAATAAATAAAAGCATACCAGGTAGAAGACCTCATGGCTGATGAAATTTATTGGCAACTGGTCAGTAAATATAAAAAAATGAGCTCCTGTTTGGCTCAGAGCTGTATGTTGGTCAGACTGATGAAATACAACTGTTCAGAAAGCAGAAGGCATTTTGTAACAAATAGATCACCTAACATACAGTAGAAATCTGCCCTGCTCATCTTATAACCTGCCTGCAGTTTCAACACCAGGACTGAACTTATCAGATGCCCTGATAATTAAGTTTAAGTCTCCAAAYAAAATATTCCTCTTTTGACTCTAACTTTCCTCAGTAGTACCACCCTGCTGATTGTCTAAAGTTGGATTGATTTTATTGTTGTTTTCAAATCCCAGAGTTGTTTGGGTTGGRAATTTTATTTGTCTGGTTTCCACAAAGGTATAAAGCAGTGGTGCCAAACTCATTTTCACCAGGAGCTTTATGATTGCCCTCATAGGGCCAGMTGGAATTAACTTTGACACCTTGTATTTAACTTTAACTAAACACAAAAYGTCACATTCCTTGTCACATTGCTATGGTTGAGCACTGCCAACAAATAACTGAGCTCTATGTGGTATTATGTGCATAGAAACAGTGTTTTAACACATCCACTTATAAACGCGGAAATGTACTATGCTCATGACTGACTAAATATGAGTTATATAATACAGAAATACTATTAAAAGTAAAAATAAGAGTTTTACTCATTGTTGAGTGACTAAAGGGGCATTCCAGTTTAGACTGACGACCAGTACAACAGGGTCACAGCAAAATTAGCTGGCAAAAATCCTGTGATTTACGCTGGCTACTGGCTATTCTTTAACCCTGCGCACCTKCACCTGTGGTGGCTTGTTTTTTACCATCAATGCTGGCTTTAAAGCAGCTTCTGTTTAAACATTGATACATCTTCAAAACTCCTGCGGGCCACAGGAAATGTTGTGGCTGGCCACTTTTGACCTGTTGGCCTTACGTTTGACACATGTGGTGTAAAGTAACAAAATATGAATACTTTGTTGCTTTACTTAAATAGATATTTTGGTGATCTATACTTTATTATAGTAATAATTTTTAGCTTTTTACTTCTACTCTTTACATTTTGAAAAACCGCATTAATCCTATTTAATATTGGCTTGTTTTCATCCTGGTTTGTCACTGTTACATATTTTTWAAAAAACTATCCAGATACATGGCACCTCCTGATAGAGTGAATTCAGTTGTGGCTGGATGCGAAGTCTAAATAAAAACCCTTCCAACACCCTGTGGTTTTTACGATCCATCACACCTGTATGACACAAATCATGTCACACTCCAGCAGGACAYAGAAGTATGTGCTCTGGTATAAAAATGACAAGCAGAGAGATGTCTATGTAGATGTAGATATATGCAGTTTAAACAGGCAGACAAGTGCATCCCAAATTTTTTAACATTAATATTTTAGTATAACATTATAGTCATTGGGCACTTTAAAAGAAAGTTTTTATCACCTCTCAATAAATGGCATTTTAGAAATTCTAGCCACTCACTTTTATTCAATACATTTACTTTTAATACTTAAGAACATTTTATATCAGAAAATTACATTTGACACTTACAATGTCACTTTTACTCAAGTAATATTATTAGTGTAGACTTTAACTTTTACCAAAGTAATTTTATAGTAAGATACTTGTACTTTCACTCAAGTATGACTGAAGTACTTTTAACAAGACTGGGTTTAAAATGGACACTCATTAGGCTGCTGTGATATGAGACATATGTGTTTCTGCTTTATGTTCCTCGGCCAGGACTTCCTGACATATTTTAAAATAAAAAAAAGCCTAAAAGGTTTTTAGTCAGCCATGCTTAAATGAAAAATCAAAAACAAATCGGAAAAAAAATTTAGCAAATGCCACCAACCAGAACACTGACATTTCACAAAAAAATGATATTTAAAAAATATTTGGAATTTATATATA